TTATTCCATATGCAAACATTCATTTTGAACACATGGCCTTGGAAAACAATGCAACCCTCTAGAAAAAGCTATGCTAGGTCGAGAATCACTTAAAGATTTATCTTAAATGAGATAAGGGACGTAGAAAAGTTCCTTATTTTTTCAAATGGAATAACAGAAGTTTGGATTTTGGTCTTGTTTCAGTCTACTATTCTCTTTCATGTTTGCTCTTAAAGAGAAGAAAAAAGGTGGCCAAGATCAAAGTGTCATGGTATAAATATGAAATCAGTAGCTGGATCCTTTGTTCTAATACTGACTTTTTACCCTTTAAGTTGATTTGCTCATTCTATTTTCATCAGAACTCTTGCTCCCAAATACAAATATAATAGACAAAGGTCTGATAATTTTGCTTACAACTGCAGAAGTAGCTGAAGTTCACACTTGGACTATAACCAGGTTTCTGCCATCACAAAACTCTTATCAATCTCTCTGTATAAGAGAAGCATACTACACAAGGAGAGAAACAAAACTTCCCTTTATCTACTTTTTAATTTATTAAGTCTGAGTATGTTTGTGAAAAGTTATTTTGCAAGGATCCCAATGGTCTTGAATGTCTCAAGTACATAATGAAACTAACTTCACACATTTTTAAGTTAGGATAATAAAATTATAAGCATAGTATTTTCTAAATCTAAATTATTATAGCTCAGAAAAAAAATCTTTCAAATTTATTCATTTCTCTGTAGCTTGGGCTCTGAAGAGAAAATTTATAAACAGGGAAAGAAAAAAATCTTGAAAGAAGAAAAAGAAATTGAGATTTGAAATATCACCAGTGTTTGATGACTAATGGTAAACAAATATATATTTCACTCTTTTGTAATACAAAAACAGAAAAATCTAAGGTTGAGAAAAAGAGGTCTATGGGCATGTGAACTAAGCGTGTCATCTGCAAAGTTTATCAGTTTACAAGAAGGCAGGTTTTTGAGTCATCAAAGAGCAACTTTCATGACATACTATGAAAAGGCCAGGATCCAAGATTTATATGAGGGAAAATACAAGACCTAACTCACTTTTTCAATTATGAGAAAATTACGGGGGGGAAGCAATTATGTTCGATGATAAATGAGTCCTTCTTAGCTGAGAAATCAGAGTATCTTGTTTCATGTACTCAATTTGTGCATTTTTTTATTCTTTGCTCTAAGCTGTTTCTTTGATCTGACAAATATAAGAAAATTAAAATTGTTCTGTTGGGGACATGTGAGGAATCTAATCTTGAAAGCAGTGAACTACAATGATGTATTATTATACTACTTTGATATAAAATCAGAAAGCTACTGATTTTCAAAATGCATAATGTTGTTATCATTTAAAACTAAATTTTCTTGGGGCAGACACAGCTGAAACGACTCTCAGGTGTTAAGTGCTCTGGAGTCAGCCTCATCTTCAGGCTGACCTGATGTGAGCTGCCACAAGAAACCTAAGGCCCGGCATATTGTCAATGGCTCACGCACCAAGAAACCACGGTGACAACCAAGACGACAAACCATTTTGTCATAGCCTGCATTTATTTAAGCAAACTGCATGTGTAGAGATAAGAAATTAAAGCGCTGTCATGTTTTACAAACACAGAAAGAAGACACAGAATAAGAATACCCTGAAGAGAGCGCATCTGAGAATGCGGGTCTATCACAGGCGGACACTCACAGTGACCACACGGAGTCGGCACATCCAGCTGTCATTCGGGTTCTGACATCGTTCGAGTAGTTTTAAGAGATCAATCAGCAGCTGCTTTGCAAGGAATACTAATGATTATGGAAGCCTTGAAGGGCTTGTGAGTGACTACACTACACGCACACAATGCTAGGCTTTGCGTGTCGCTTCAATGCCATTGCACATTGTGTAGGAGAGTAATGTCTCCTCACACACGGACTGTGACGTCCACTAAAATGTGAACTAGTTTGCATAGGTTAGTCCTTTGAGCAGCACGATGTTGCTCTAGTCCACCAAGGCTGAAAAATTCACAGTGTAGAGGAAAAAAAACATGAATTAAAGCATTTCTACTAAAATATATTTTAATAGCTGGTGTTAACAATTTGCATAACAAAAGCCAAATTATAGTAGTACCATTGTATCTTTCTGTAACCCTCTTTATCTCAAAAACATGTGTCTCCTTCAAAACCATATGTTTTCAAAGTTAGCACAATCTTACAAGTTAATCATCAACCATACATATTTTGAAGCAAATAGAAGCCAATGTGAACAATGATTCAATTCTGCATTTTTATCACAGGTCAGAGACCAACAGTTCCACATTAAGGCCATCACCCAGTTGGCGCTGCTTCTAAATCCTCAGTCATTCATTGTGTGGACACTGAAGAATGAGACTCTGATGCAGTTTTCTCTTTTCCTTTAAAGTCATTCTTAACAGCAACTGGACTACAAGGAAGAAAATACTATGCAAACTGCATATCATTTAACAAACACAAAAAGCTTATGGAGTTCCCATGAATATACTGAAGTAATACAGACAATCAGCGAGGAAATTTTCCCAGGGGGTCTTTCCAGGTGTGTGGGCCCCAGTAGTCTAAGGCTCATGGAATGATGGCTGTGGAAGCATCATACAATGTCTTGAATTTTTGATCAAGAGTTGACAATTACTTTCCTGGGATGGACCCTAGTGGGCATGGAATACTTCAGAAGGAGACTTTCATTTTAACATTCTTAACTTAGTTTACACAGCTTCTAACTTAACTAAAACTTCTTACCCCTATATCAAGTTACCCAAAACAATCACACGCAAGCCACTTTTAGATTATCAGAGGCAAATAGCTAAGGTATCATGATTTATGAACTGAATCTCATCTTACATAATGAATTCAGCCTCATAACATAATACTTCTATCTTACAAGTACTACAAATCCCAAACCTAAAGTTAATGTTTATGTGCCTCAACTATATATAAATCCACAAAAAAAACCTCTCAGAAATAGATGGGAGAAATCAGCATTTTCTAAAAGTCCTATACCTTTCAAGGTAAAATACAATCAGCTCTCACATTTCATATCTATCAGGAGCATCTCAGTTCCCCACCACAAAAATACCAATTGTGTATAATAAAATATTACTATAGAATAGGCAGAAGATGTCTGCTTGGTTTTCTTTCCAAGGCTATTGTAGATAAACAAGGGTAATCAAAAAGGCACCTATTTCTGTAAATATCTCTATTATCATTTTGATATAAACTATATCCACTTAATATAGGTATGTTTTATAAAGGAATCATAGACATTTTCTTTATCATTTCATTCAGAACATCCCATTGGAGAGGGACAAACCTGAAAAAGGTGTCTCTCTTGAACATCCACTGTCTGTTTAGGAAAGTCTGCTTCCCAACTCCAGGAGTACTGTCCAGTGTGACATGAGAGGAGGAGGAAAGAAAATCTGGCAAAATGGTCAAAACTCATCATCTTCAAGCAATGTCCTGCCTAGGGCAGGATCGGGGCTGGGCTGAGTTGACCCACAGTCATACAAAGTGCTCCTGGAAATTGTGCTTGCGAATTCATTCCTACATGGTCTTTGAGGTGGGGGAAGCCTGAGAAGAGTCAGAGACTGTGCGGGCATCTGATAAATATGTCAGGCTGGGTTTCACTACTGATGTGTAAACAATAACGAGAAGACAAAAAATTCTTTTTGCCTCAGGTTAGAAATAGAAAGCCTTCTAGAGGACAGTAATTAGTAGAAACAATTACTACAAAAACTTACAACAAAAGCATTATATTCTGTTGCTAAACTTTTCTCAAGAGAGATACAGATCCACACACAGATTCAGCTTTGGAACCCTTTAAACGTGTATCAAACTCTTCCTTGTGCTTTTAGCAACCTCCAGAACACCTCAAATTTAGAAAATAGGACCTAGCAGCATGCTTCCTATACTCGGGCACTTACACAGTCTTCTTTACAACTTGATTGTAAAAAGATTTGTTGTTGTTTTTGAACTCTTGAGCTGTCAACCTTGTGGATATCTGTTGCCAAATTCAAGATGGGGAGAATGTATGTGGGAATGGGAAAGGTCTCCGAGAATGTAGTCTTTCAAAATGATGCTATAAAAGCAGTATTGTGATACTGTGTGTGTGCGCGCGCACATATCCATGTGTGTATATTTCCTGTTCTTCTGCTGAGATGCTTAATATCCTGATATTCTAGGAACAATGATAACACTAACTAACAAGTCAGCCTCAGGAGCATGTGATAGCTTGTTCTCCCTCAGTCTTTATCAAAATAACTGTCCTCTAGTTAAATGCTGCTCAGATCTTAATTCCTAAAGGCTGGAAGCAGAAACATCTTGCTGTGCCAAGATTATGTAAAGTTTAAAATTTTAGGAAAATTAATTCCCATATTAGTATTGACTTTTACATTCAATGAATACAATTTCTGAATTGATAGATAAGAAAAACAATAAAACATCAAGCTGCTATTTTATGGTACCTTTCCTGATTATAATAATTTCAAGTCAATTTCCCTTGAGCTTCCTATAAATGTGTTATTTATCAAAAATTGTACCTGCCCTACATTTAGTCTGCAAATTTAATCAACTACTCTTTTTTTATATATAATTCCAAAAAATGGGTCTGTCTGGGTGAAACGTAAATATTTACTTAATGCCATATAATAAAATTGAGCAAACTTACTGCCCTCGGTTTTCATGCACAGAAATCTTTGCAGAAACATTTCCAGTTCAGCTGGTCTTTTGTAGGTTTGTATATAAGACATCAAAATAGATACGGGGTTTAAACAATTTAGTCATGACTGGCCATTCAAGCAGGTTATCAGTCAAAGTATACAGTCTCTGGTAAAATCCCTCAAAAAATCTCTAGTTATTTGCCTGAAATTTTTTCGTTCAACTTTATGTCAGTATCACATACATACAGGTTGAATATAGTAAAATTTACTTAATTTTTTTAGCCAAACAAAAAGGTTTTTAAAAGTATGTGCTAACTTTTCAAAGATCTAAATTAATTAAAATCTGCCTTTGGACTAAGTATTTCAACAAAAATTATCTTACAGGATATTTTGTTAATTTTCTTCAATATACTATACAAGACCTAACATATTATTACATTTCTGTAAATGTTTTTTATCCAATTTCATCACTACTGCAGAGTGAGCTCTTACAAGAATGTTACCCTGCTGCAAGTCCCAATAAATGGCACAATCAGAAAAACCTGGAATTGCTGATGGAAATGAATCTCTTAGCGGAGCTTGACTACAGACTCCAAGAGAAACTGACTCATGACTGCCAGCAAGGGCTACAGCTACAGCTGAGAATCCAGCAAATGCTTGCAAGGTCACTCATTTGAAAGTCCAAAGTGATCATTTCTTTTTTTAGTGAACAACTTGTGGACCAATACTGAGAATCTCTGTTGACATTCCTATTGTATCCCCTAAACATGATTTAGAAAAAAAAAAAAAAAGAAAAGGGAAAGGAAGTCTTTTCATTAACCAGCTTCAGTGGGTAGATTTCCACTCCAGAATCTGAGTACCACGTTCCAAATTAACCTGATCATCTTTCCCTTTGCAAAGCTGGCAATGCTTTGTTTGCTAGGTTTTCTTCAGCACATTTCATATTCTGTCCTTTTTCCCCACACTGGGTCCTGTCAAGTTTTCTTCTTTTCTTAATGTCGCTGGCATTAATTTAATGAAAGCTGTTCAATAAACCCCTATCACTTATTTACTAGAGTATACAACTATTTTCTAAGGTGTAAATCTTCCAAAACTAGAGTGCAATGCAGCAGGAGAATCTCAAGCAACTTTTCAAAACATGTTTCTCTGAGAGCTGGCACAGAGGAAAGATTTTTAGAATGTCAGCCTCACTTTTTGCTTTAATAACAGGAGTGGGCAGTGCAGCTGCCTATGTTACAAAGCTTGAACCTATATGACATGCAACAGGATAAAGCTTAGTAGGGAAATAATATAAATGACCTTAAATTTTGCCCTTTGCAGAGTAGCTGTGAATTATTTTGTCCTGCCATTTTGTGGGCCTGCATAGACTTGGGTCCACAGAATGTGAACAGAGTGTAGGATTGCCTTGGTACAAATGAGAAATAGATCCAAGTCAGACAAAAGAACAAAGAAATTTCCTTGTTAGTAGAAGATTCTAGGCATCTGAGGCCACCAGTCAGTAGAATTTTAACCAAAGTGTCATTCTGCCACTGCTAACATTTTTTGTATTAGGCAGTTTTCACTTGAATTGGAAATTGCCTAAAGACTCAAAAGCAAAATGGTTTTTAAATTATCGGCTGTGTTACTGAATTCAAAGAATTGGCTTCTGGTGATTCCCAAGTGGCAGCTAAGAAGTTTCGTATACTCTTTACATTTAAGGGACAATCAACATCTCTACTAAAGTCTACAAAAATACATTTCCCAGAAGGGTTCAATAGCCAATCAAAGGAAACCATGAACACAATTAGCAGCACCAGGTCTCCAGACCTAATTATTTTGTTTACAGGAATCACTGTACATGCTGCTGTTTTCAGCCCAGAATTAATTCCTTCATCCTGGTACCTGTGTGTCTACCTGTCCAAATAAGGATAGATTATTGTAAAATAACTGCCAAGTCGTCTTAAAAGTATCTTCTATCTCTTAAAAAGATTGGGTTTAGTATACATTAGAACAAAGCTCAACGGCAAGGAGGACTTAATTAACAAACTCAATGTAGTTGGCGGGCAGCATCCCCGTCTTCCCTGTTCTTTGCACCGTCCCGTACATCCAGCCATCGTCGATGGGCTGCACATTGACAATGTAGTCGCCATCCCTGAAGGAGACTTCATCTTCATCCTGAGCACTGTAATCGTACATGGCTCGGTAGGTCCTCTGGGAGAGGAAAGCAGGAGTTACTCAAATTTGCTGAACACCAAATAGTCACATCCACAAATGCCAATCACAACCAACCAACCAATGCTGAAAGTAACTATTAGGAATGTTTCCCAGCACATCTATTTCTGGAGACCTGTCAACTAGAGCCTGGTGTCCCAATTGTGTTCACTTCATGTTTACCAGACTAGCAAAAAAAAAAAAAAAATGCAATATTTGGGGACCAGAATGGGATAGAGAAAGACACTAACAGGTAGCCCATCAGAAAGCAAGCTTTGAAATAAAGACAACTCTTGGGCTCTTGTCAGCTCCAGATAACTCCAGGTTACATAGACTGTCCCTTTGTCTACAGACAGGTGCAACTGTCCGGACCAGCACAGAAGCAGTGAGCTTTTCTTAAATAGTAACTAAGAATTTCTGTTATATCTCAGAAACATATAAAACAAATAAAAGAAAAATCTATAAGATATTCACTTCATAGGTTTTTATCATAGTAATAGATAATTAGCTATAAGTGCCCTGAAAATTAACATACATATAACTAAATCACTGTTCTAATGAAAAAATTTTACATTGAGTTTTACTGTGTTTTTCACACTTCAGGCCAAGAGTTTGTTTAACGTTAAAATCAGATGACCTCAAAATCAAATGTATTATTTATAGACTGAGAGACTGGCTAAGACACAAAGAACTGTAGAGCAATTAAAGAGGGACTCCCACATTGCTCCAGGGCTACGTGTTTCTACAAGCTCAAATGAAGGCCACATGTTTGTGTAAGGAGCTTGGAGAAGCAATTCTGTCATGAGATGCCACACGTTCCATGATGAGCTCTAACACTGCTTCCAATCTTTACCTCCAATGAATGCATCAGTACTTCAAGGTTTTCAGTAGGAGGATGCAAAGATAAATACCAGTTGTGTTGTATTGGTATTAGTGATCCTTTGGATTAATGGCAAGATTACTAGTTAACACAACCAAATGTTGTGCTTTTTGACCTGAATTACGATCATAATTGGCCAACCATGAATTACCAAAGTGGCATATTCTGCGCGGTTTATTTTTTATATTTTCATATCATGCCTACCTTTCTCAGTGGTTTACCTCTGTAACTCTTTGCAGAGTAAAAGAGTATACAAAAGACAACTCATCATCATTTATGCCTTATAGGAATGTGTACAACATAGCTGTTCCTTGGTATCCATAGGAAATTGGTTCCTGGAACCCACTCAGATACCAAAATCCAAGAATATTCAAATCCTTTATATAAAATGGTATAGTGCTTGCATATAACTTATACACATCCTCCCCATGCCCTTAAATCATCTCTAGTTACTTACAATGCCTAATATGACATAATTACTGTAAATATATGTGTGCTGTATTATTGAAGGAATAATAACAAGGAAAAAAGGCTGTGAGGTTCAATACAGACACATTTATCATGGACCTAACTACACAATACTAGTCTATTCAATGTTATGTACAGATATATTCTGGAGCACAAACAAATGTCCAGGGAAGAAGAGCTACTTCAGATTAATACTTACTAGGTTTGGTGAATGCTGCATTGACCTCATGGATGACAGGCTGGTCTGGTGCATGTACCCATAGCCTTGGGAATGGCTTTGCTGGTAAGCTCCAGGAAGAACAGGTGCTGCATGATAAATATACAAAGACTTTACAGTGAGTTTCAAAATACCCTTTCCAAGATCTCATGTGACTTTGTGCTCTGCCAGAATCTTCTGGAATAAAATGCCATTTTCAGTGTCATGTGAAATTTGGTTAATGACATTATAAGCAATCTCTTTGGATTAGTATAAATTTCAGTAATTAAGGACATACACAGGGAATTCGTAAAACATGCAATTAAAATACATTAGAAATACTTGTTTCGTATTGCAGATGCTATGTTAAAAAGACACAAATACAAAATAAAATTCCTTAATAAAATCATGTTTTCATTTGGCCATGTAATCCTTGGAAACATTTTCAAAAGTGAGAATAAGAAATTTAGAGGAACTTCATGGGATTATCAAGCCAATGACAAAATATAAATGTTTCTACCAGATTTGTCTCATGAAACAGGAGGATCTAATATTTCAAGACACATAGCTGAATGATACCTTTACATGATCTGAAACACAGCATATGTCGAACAACTCCGAAGTCTACACCTTTACAAGAAATCTTAGTCATATATGTTAAATCTCCATTTTATTTTGACTATGAGTCAAGAAATATATTTCAGCTGACTATGTTACAAAAGCCCAAGAAACCAAGCCTTTTAAAGGCTCTCTGAAATATTACCTTCCTACATCAAAGACAAATAGTATCTCAGTAGTGTTCACCCAATTATTGCTGTTCTCATCAATAATGACAATCAAAAGACCTACCTTTTAGAAGAAAACTGAAATACAGAAAAATACAAAACCAGTTCACACACACTTGTTTTCTCCATAAATATGTTTAAGTATTTGTGACTGAACTTAGAATGTAAAGAACTTAGAATAATCAGCATTTTGAATAATTATTAATATATTAGAAAAACTTTTTATGTGTTTAAAAAATCCGTAATAGTTGCCATTTTTGTTCAATCAGTTTGCATATATAAAATAATCATTACAGGTTGATTTATCCAGGACAGTTTTTATAATAAAAGCATAAAACAGATGTAGTTCTTGCGTATTATGAATAGTTAATATTTATAAGTGGCACATTCTTTCTAATGATGTATGGGAACATCAAACTTAAAAAAAAGTTTATCATCAGAAAATTATCAATCATTATTGTGTTTTTCCAGATGATAATGATACTAGGTTGAATTTTTTTAAATAGTTCTTTAACCAATCCATATTATAATGTTATTATGAATAGTTACTTAACATCTTGATTTAGCCCCAGAATTTAGGTTGTAGAAACTATGATTTATTAAAACATAAACCTCAAATACTTCAGAAAACAGCACATTTAATATTACCAACTCAATGTAAGTATTGGCTATCTAGATATTTGAAGGATATTGTCAAAGTGTCCTCCCAAAGAAAAAACATGATGAAATCCCCACAGATAACTGGACCCACTTAATTAGCTGAGTAAAAATCTCATGTCTATGTTGGGAACTGAAAGCACTGGCCATTCATTCAGGCGCTCCCTCAACTCCCAATTATAAGTGAGTCCATGTGTGCATAGGACTTACTGCGCTGCCTGGCCCTTAATGGTCCTCCACATGTACCAGCAATGATCACTGGCCGCCATGTATGAGGCATGCCAGGCACAAAAGGAGTGCCAACAGCTGCCCTCCTCGAACAGTGTTGACTCTGGAGATCTGCCCTTTGTCCAATTAAGTTAATGGCTCTGAAGACTTAGGGCGGTTCCAGTTAAAGTTGCTGACTGGCAGACCTGAATTGGGTTTTGTTCCCTTAAGTCATTTCTTCATTTGTTCTTAAACATATTAAGCTCACCAGTGCTCATGTAAAGTCATGCTATGTCCAGGTTCTCCAAACCACCTTGAGAATCTCCAGTGTGGGAGTGGAGGGGACCTGACAGTGGCACATAATTTTTTTAATCTTTGAAGTGACTCAAATGGGCAGCCATTGGCTAGAACTTGGCTTCCTTCTCCCTCACCTGATACAAATTCAGGGGCTCATGTGGAACTATTTTAAAGATGTTATCCCCAGTTCCTTCTCTCCTACAATGGAGTTTTGTTTGCAGCCCCTCCCTTGCCCCAATTCACATACTCAGATACTTGAATAATGTAAGTATAATGCTGACAACTAGCGGGATTAACTCAGTTTGCTCAGAACTTACCTAGAACTCAGTCCAGAAAGGACTCAAGAACTCCTTCATCTCCATCAAGTTGGTACAGTCTCCCTACTCATGAGCCGAGTTAGCATGCCATATGCTGACAAATTACCATTACACAAATGAGCCTCCGAAGGTCAGTATAACTCAGTAACTTGTGAAAAATACCAGAGCTAAGGAGGAGCCAGGAGTTCAAAACCAATCATCAGGAGCCACTTTCTTGGCTATCCTTATTAAAATGAGCGTGGATGTAATCACAAGAGTGTATGTTTAATCTCCAAATAACCATGTGAGTTCAGAAATGTGAAAGAACATTATGGTCTGCACAGGAGGGAAGCTCCTAGGAGCAATGAGCACTTGAGCTGGCCTTGGAGAGGGCAACAGTTCATCAGTCATTCCTGCTGTGGGACAGACAGGATGAGAGGGAGAGAAAAGCTAAAGCTAAGGAAAAGAAGGCTTAGAGGCATGTGTGATTCAGGTACACGAGAGTCACCGAGTTACTGTATTTGCCATCAGCATATCTGCAGTGAACGTTGGGGTATGAGCCCCACAAGAAGTTCATGTGAATATGGTTGACAAGAAGCTAGAATAGGTCTGGAAGAAATTACAGTGAGAATAATTCACTCACTTTGGAAATGTAAGTACAAATCACAGACCATAGCACCCCTTCTGAAGCAAAGGCTTCTGGATTTCTTTGAAAGGTCATTTTGACACACGGTAAGTACATGTATGTGTGTTTCATGAAATCTTAATTTTTCCTCCCATTGCCAATAGTATCCTACCATGTGGAGGGCAAGTGTCAATCACTTTATCCCATTTGTATAATTTCAAGATTGTGTTCAAATCACATCTCCCAATATCATTTCAACCTTTTAACCACTTTTCCATTCAGCAATAAAAAGCTGTCCATAATGAGGCCACCTAACGCTTTGCAAAATCCAAAAAAGCAGTACATTTGAAAGCACTGCTTTCCAAGCTGCTTTTCCCCTAGAAAAAAACATTCTGTGAATGTTCTCTGACAGAACAGAGCTAAGACATAATATGGTTTGAATGGAATTAGAGGACTTGAGATTTAAGAATATCTGCCATTTTGCTTCAGATTAATCCAGTCAATTTACTCCGTCATTAGATTTGAATTTCAACCTGAGTATCTTTTTCTCAGAATTATTTAGCTATGTAAGCCTGAATAAACTCCCCAATTTGTAACTGTAATGCAAACCACAGGAATGTCATTGAGGGGGAAAGAGAATTTCTGCCCTAAATACAGCTTTTAATAATATTCTCAAGGCGCAAAATCTACAGGGTGTAAGGCATATACATACACACCAGCACCCAAAACAAAACAAAAAGAAAGAACTGTACACCATGGTGATTATCCATCTATCATAGTTTCATGACAAGTAACTACATAATTTGAGGCAATTCTTTGATAAGTTGAAAGCAATCAGGGACTTAGGAATAGCAGGTAGATAGCGTGCTGTTTCCATTTACATAAACCATGTCACCAACACCAGCTTTGGGACACAAATTATGCCATGACTGAAAAGTCATTTCCCAGCAAATTCCAGTTTTCCTCAGTGGCTACAAGTGCCAACATAAGGTAAATCAGTCTTACATAAGAAGATTCCTTTTGCAAGAACATTAGAAGAAATTCTCATTAAATCTTTGCTGGATATTCTGCAAATATTCATTGGCTACATATATATATTATATATGTGTGTATATATTACATTATATATGTAATACACATATTACATATGTAAATTATGTGTATAATTTATATACATATATTACATGTGTATATATTTCTTTATTTACCAACTTAAAACTGACTACATTTTTTTTCCTTGCACTAATCAGTTCAAATATTGACTCTTAGGAAACATCATCAATCCAGGAGTTCCCAAATATAGTTCTTCATTAGACACCCTTACTGACAAGCCACACTAATTATATCTATAGACATATCTGAGTATTGATTACATTTTGGAATGAGCTCGTATATTTCTTTCAGCTGATGGCCACATATGGAACTTTCTCAATGTGTACCTGGCATGATTTAAAGATAGAGAAATGTAAGCAATGAGTATAAAGGATGGTGTGGACTGCCAAAGCCCAAGCTCTAAGATCAAGAGTATCTATGGCTAGAGAAGGATGAAGAGTCACACTCAGGTAGGGCAGTGAACAGGTCACTGAGAAGAAAGGTACAGTTAGACAGGATCTGGGGAAGAACTTACCAGAAAGAGCAATAAATACAAGGTCAGGTCTATGGTTTAAGATAAAGATCAAGAACCAGAACATTTGGGAAATGTGGCGTAACCCAGTGAGGGAATCTAGCTGTGACAAAAGCAGCACATGACAATGATCCAGGGAAACAGGAGACAATGAACAAAATGCAGAAACTCAATATGCATCTCCAGCTGTATCAGCCCGTGAAAATTTTAAGTAATTACTGTTAAGTCAGGATCTAATCAGTCCCCACGACCTCTGGCCTGGGGCTCGGGGAGGAAGGACGTGGGCACCTGGATAAGTATGGAGTAGGGGGAGAACAGGGAAATTTGTGACTACAAAGACAACATTATGACTTGCTGTTTTGTAGATGGCAGTAAATACATATGGATACCAGCCTATTACCAACGTGGACGTCATGATACCCCAGACAACCTATTCTGTTTCATATATGTATGCCACTTGACTATTTATAAAGCTCTTACAAAGTTTTCTTCTTTGGTGCAGACGCCATAGTCATGTTTATATCTTACTGATGATCAAACCTTCTCTTTCTCTCAATCAACTCAACTTTACAGGAAATACATTTTTAATGTTTTATTAGTTGCTACTTTAAATGTCAGC